AAGATAACTTATTATAGGTTTTCAAATTTAATATAGTCAAATAGTCATTCCATATAAGAGCATAATATAGTTAATTAGTCATGCCCTCCATATAAAACCTAAAGATTCATATTTTAAATGCTAAAATTTTGAAAAACCAAAAAGTTGAAAACACTAAAATTCTCCTCCTCATTTCTCCTTTCACAAATTAAAAACAATCAATTTCCCCTCTTTTTCTCTTCTATAAATTTGAAAGAACTAAATTTTCCTCTTCATTCCTTCTTAAAAAGTTGAAAACGCAAAATTTCCGTCCTTATTTCTCTTTTCGTAATAAAAAACCAAACTTTCTCACTTTTTTCTCTTCGCACAAATCAAAAACATCAAATTTTCCTCTTTTTCCTTCCCAAAAAGTTGAAAATACCTAAATTTCTCTTTACTTTTAAAATCATCAAATTACCAAAATAAATTACTTTACTCTATTTATATTTAATTGATAGCTTTGTTGAATAGTTAAATTAACCAAAATTTTAATTTATGTATATTAATATTGTCCATGATACCAATTATTATCTTAAATATCAATATTGACATTGTGCTGATTTTTTTTAAACACGATCGAGCCGGAGAGTAGTTTTCCGTCGTATGCGGGGTTTAGGTTTTGCTCATTCGAATTGTTTCTTTGTTGATGCGATTGACGCATCTGGAGGCTTAGTTGTAGCTTGGTCCCCCGGGGTTGATGCTTCGATGTTCTTTCATTCCAACTTCTGTATTTGTGCCCAAATTAATGAAGTGGATTTTTCGTACGTTGTATTTTTGTTTACATTAGTTGTAATGTTGCAATAAGAGCCACTCAATTGGCTCAACTTCGAGACGTCTGTGACCATATCCAGCTTCTCTATGTTGTCATTGGTGATTTTAACACTATTATGCATGAGAGTGAGAAGGATGGTGGTTTGTCATAGAATGTTGCTCGCTCGCTTAGCTTGCGTGACTTTCTCCAGGATCTTGGGCTTCATGATCCCTGCTACCAGGGTGATCTGTTCACCTAGACGAACAAACGGATGGGTGCGGCTTGCATTCGTGAAACGCTAGATAGAGCTCTGTGCTCCCAGTCATGGATTGACCTTTTTCGGATACCCTGATTAAACTTTACGGACCAAGGGTCAGATCATAGAGCCCTTGTCCTCTCTAACAAACCGTATGCTCGTAATAGTCGCCCTCTTTTCCGATTTGACGCCCGTTGGGCGAATAATCCAGAGGTCAAGGCAATGGTGCATTATGTCTGGCAAGAGGATACTCAAGGCATCCCTATGTTTCGACTTTGGGAACGCCTTAAGCTTTGCCATTTGCTGTATGATTAGAGTAGAGCGGGCACTACGAACTCGTTGCATAATATCATAACCCTCCAAGCTAAGATTGATCGGATAAAATCGATTCAACCTATTGACTGGGATGTAGTTCGCAGCCTGGAAAATGAATTAAATCGTCAGCGGGAGGCGGAGGAAATCTATTGGCAGGAAAAATCTAGCGTCCGCTGGTTGAAGAAAGGGGATAAAAATACTTCTTATTTACATATGGTTATGAGAAACCGGCGGAAGCGGAACTTCGTGTACGGTCTTCGCAATGACAATGGTGAATGGATCACGGTGGAGAATGAGAAAGCAGTTGTTGCCAATAGTTTTTATCATACTCTGTTCACCTCGGAGAATCAAGTGTTAAATATGGTTGATCGGGTGGCTGCTCTCCCTATCCCACATTGTAATACATCGGGTATGAATGCCACTCTGACGTCGGAAGTACTCCCTTGTGAAGTAAGGAAAACTGTCTTTTCCATGGGATCAAAACAGGCACCAGGATCTGATTGTTTCACCGGTAAATACTTTGAGGCTTTCTGGGCTATTGTGGACGACTCGGTGATTGAAGCGGTATGTTCATTCTTTTCAATGAGTACGATGCTCCGCAGTTTCAACCATACGTGGCTCACCTTGATTCCTTAAGTGGACAATGTGGAAAATATGAGACAGCTGCGGCCTATTAGCTTATGTCAATTTGTTTATAAAGTTATAACTAAAATAATGGTTGAAAGGCTTGTTGGACGATTACCTCAGATCATTTCGGACGGTTAAAATGCTTTCATTCGGGAGCGACAAATAGTCGAGAATATCCTCCTTGGTCATGAATTAATGCACTACTTGAAGAGGATGGATACATGAATGCCTGGATGGGTTTTAATTCTACCTGGAGAGGATGGATACATGAATGCCTCCGATCATCATCTATTCGACTCTTATGAATGGTACCCCCTCGGGGTTCTTCTCACCATCCAGGGGACTCCGGAAGGGGATCCATTATCCCCCCTTTTATTTGTGATCTGCACTGAGGGGTTTGCGGCTTTTCTTCGTAAGGCCATTTCAGAAAAGAAATTAGGAGTCAAAGTGGCTCCTCGAGCTCCCCGGATCTCGCATATGTTTTTTTGCAGATGATTCTTATTTATTCTTGAGAGGTTCGCACCAGGAATGTGAGAATTTGATTGAGATCTTGAATGAATATGAGGAACTTAGTGGTCAGAGGGTGAATTTGGCTAAATCGGCAGTTTGCTTTGGCAAAAATATTGCTATGCCGGATCAGGAGTTCTTGGCCCAGATTCTGGGTGTTGGTGTGGTAGGGGTCCATGATAAGTATCTGGGTTTACCCACGCTGATTGCCCGATCCAAGATGGAAACATTCTGTTATTTGGAGGAGAAGTTGCTTGACCGACTCCAGGGATGGAAGCAGCAGAGACTTTCGTGGGCAGCTAAAGAAACTTTGATTAAATCAATTGCTTTAGCGCTGCCATTACATGTTATATCCTGTTTCAAACTCCCTCTCTCTTTGTGTCCACTCTTGGACAAACATGTGGCCCGGTTTTGGTGGGGTGTTGAGGAGGGCCAGACAAGGATTAGATGGATATCTTGGCGTAATATGTGCAAAAGCAAGCATGATGGGGGTATGAGGTTTCGCCGTTTTGAACATTTTAATCAGGCTCTATTAGCCAAAATTGGTTGGCATATCTTTAATGAACCCCAGTCTCTTTTAGCCCAGGTTTACAAAGGGAAATACTTCCCCACTTGCACTTTCCTTAAGGCTACGGCCCGCTCTCGCCCATTGTGGGGATAGCAAAGTATCCTCTATGGCAGACAACTATTGGAGTTGGGGTTACGTTGGCAAATTAGTAATGGAAAAAGAGCATCCCTTCTTCATTCCAACTGGGTTCCTAAGCTTCATCCTAGTCCCCCGGTGTATAATCCCTAGGTATTACCGGAAGGGGTGACCCATTTGTGGCTGAGGTTATATGTTAAGGGGAAGGTCGTTGGTGCGACCTCAAACTTAGTCAGTGGTTTGACCCGTCAACTTGTCGTGCCATCAAAACTATTCCCCTACCACGTCAGAGTGTAGAGGATAGGCTGATCTAGCATGCTACGACGGATGGAGTCTTTACGGTTAAATCTGCTTATCACTTTGTTGTCTTACTTGATATACGCAGTCGTTGTTGGCGGTCAATAGCTAGTTGGATGAACAAGGCCAGCTGGATCCGGTTATGGGAGGCTAATATCCCTACTAAAGTGAAGGTGTTTGTCTGGCAAATCGTTAACCGTATCCTGCCTACCACGGAACCCCTAATCGAGAGGGAGGTCCCTGTGATACCAAGGTGCTCGGTTTGTTGAGCAGATTCTGAAACAATGGAACATTTATTCCTTGAGTGCCCCGTCGCATGCGCCCTTTGGGATTACTCAGGTTTGGAGCATCTTGGACAAGGGCTGCCTCATCATACCTTCCCTCTTTTTCTGAAAAAGTTGATGTCTCTGATACATCAGCCCTCTCTCCTCATGGCGGTTGTAGCGAACCTGTGGAGAATTTGCCAGTCACGTAACTGGGTTGTCTTTGAAGGTAAGAAGTTTGGGATGTCGACTTTGATGTGCCTGTTCAACCAGCAGCATGAAGAGTGGATTGGTCTGTCGGTGGATGGTGTGACTCCTCAGTCCGTCCCTGTTTCCCATCATTTAGTCCCTGGGGGCATCATGTGGCGGTTTGTATGTGGGAAGGGGCTACGAGGAGTGGGTCTCATTCGGCAGGAGGGATGGTTACTATGAACTCGGCCAGGGAAGTCCTTATGGCTATTGGGGTCCATTTTCAGTTGCTTGATGACCCTATGGTGGTCGAGTTGCTTGTGCTTCGGGAGGCTATTTTATAGTGTCTGGGCCAAGGCTTCACGGAAATGAGATTTGAAGGGGATGCTAAGGTGATCATTGAGAAGGTTATTAGGGTTGATACTAGAGATAACCAGATGGGGGCTATTCTAGAAGAAATTGTGCACTATTTTGCCTTTCACTCTGGGTTTAGTATTCGATTTGTAGGATGGAGTAACAATAGGGTAGCTCATGTGGTGGTTAGAAAGGCCTTTTTTTGTATCCGACTATGTGTCGTTTCTTTGATTTTCAGTACTAGCTGAATTCAATGATGAATTTGTCTATTTTTTGAAATCAATACATGATTATCTTTTGTAAAAAAAAACGGGTTAATTGCATGGTTGGTCACTAAGATTACAAAAAACGTTCATGTTTGGTCACTGAAAATATTTAAACCCAATCTTGGTCATTCAAATTAGTTAACTAGTTCAAGTTTGGTCACTCTCCGTCTAACTCCGTTAAATTTATCTGATGTGACAATCAACCCTCAAAGTTGACCGTTAACTCAGTAACGTGGCAATTAAAAAATAATAAATAAAATAAATTTTATTCTTTTATCATTTCCAACTCATTTTCACAATAAAGTAAAATAAATAAAACAAAAAAATTTATTATAGTTAAAAATTGAAGGTAGCTTCCTCCTCCGCCAACACCTTCTCGTTCGTCACACAGCCGTCGCCTCACCTCAAAATCCAGCAGTTCGATCTCTTCTCCACCGTCGACATTATCAACAGCGTCGTCGACAAAATCGAGAAGTTCTCGATCCCCGCGCACCAGTTGGTCATCGAGCACGAGATGAACAAGAATCCCTGGATCACCAAGCCAAACGTTGGCACCGACCTATTCTTCGCGAGCTCGTACGCCCTGAGCAAGACGCGGTGGCTACTGGCGCTCCAGCTGCACACTAGGGCGTGCGATAGGTCTTCTGCGGTGGCTCTGTTGGCGGAGCTGCTGGAGTTGGTCGGCGGCGGGAGGGATGATGGTGGTGGGAAACAAGAAGAAGAAATGGATGTTGGATTGAGACTGGGAATCAATGAGTAAATCATGATTGGGAAAGCGAATAAGTCGTTTTGGGCTAGTGGGAAGGACATGCTAGGTTACTCACTGAATGCGCTGCGAACGGCCAATTTGTAATTATAATAATTTTTGTTTTATTTATTTTACTTTATTGTGGGGTTGGAAATGGTAGAAGATTAAAATTTATTTTATTTATTATTTTTTAATTGTCACGTCACTGAGTTAACGGTCAACTTTATGAGTTGATTGCCACATCAAAAAAATTTAACGGAGTTGGACGGAGAGTGATCAAATTTGATCATTTAACTAATTTGAGTGATAAGATTGAATTTAAATATTTTAGTGACCAAACATATGTAATTTTAGTTACCAACCATAGAATTAACAACAACATAAAACTGTTGCTAGGGTCAGTGCCTTATTAGTGGTGGTAATTGGTAAACTGTTGGTGTTGTAGACTACTAGACTGTAGTTGTAGTATAGTATAGCCCACTTTCCGATAAGTGCGCCTCCAAAACCAAAAGGAAACGTCTATAAAATAAAATAAAAAACAAATTAGAGAAGGAAAATAAATTGAAACAGAAAATATAAAGAGAAAATGGGAAAACTCTGAAGTGTGTATCAGCTGCAGCGGTGTGCTTTTTCAATTTTCAGCTTAGAAAAAGCGCTCACGGGAAAAGCGCGGGCCTTGTTCCTTTTTCGTGTTTCCTTCTTCCACTCCACATACCATCCGCGACCAAAAAGCTTCGATCTTCAATCCCCAACGCAGACATTTTCACTGAGAATTACGTTTTTGGTTTTCCTTCATTTATCTTCTCTGGCGACCAAGAAACAAGTAGCATAAAGTGTTCTTTCCCCTTGGTTTTCATTTCAGAGAATGAAATTCGGGGAAACATTCCGAGAATACCTTCACGGAGATCAGGAGAAGTTCCTGGACAAATTCTCCCATGTCGAGTACAAGCGCCTGAAGAAGGTGCTGAAGCAATGCCGGAGTTCTTCGCATGGCTCGCAGGAGATTTGTCGAAACAGCCTAGAAGAAGAACAAGTCGAAGAGGAGGATCATCATCAACAGAGCCACCCTGATTTCAATCAATTCTGCCAATGCCAGTCCTGCCCAGGTCAGATTTCTCGGTTCCTCTATCTGGGCGATTCTCGGTTCTTCGTGATTGTGAGAAAATTGAGACGCTTTTTTTTGGCTTAATCTGAAATTGTAGTGTGCGATCAAATGTTCTTTTCGGAGTTGATGAAAGAAGTTTCGGAAATAGCTGGATGCTTCAATTCTAAAGCTAGGCGTCTCCTCCACCTTCACGTGGCCAGGGGGATGCAAGGTTATGTGTTGTGGTTTCGTCAGTGCTTTCGAGATGATAAGTTAGCTATGGCGGAGGAAGGAAAGATGCTGATGGAATATGTTACCATGAATGCTATCGCGATACGCAAAATCTTAAAGAAATATGATAAGGCAAGGAATCCCAGTTCCTTATTTCCTTCAACTGATTGGATTTCCTACTTGTATGGAACAATTTTCATGATGATAGATGATTCTGATGTTCCTTAAGGTGCATAGCTCTGTGAATGGAAATATTTTCAAGTCCAAGATGCGTGCGGAACATATTGAACTTCTGCAATCGCCTTGGTTGATTGAGCTGGGGGCGTTGTTTCTGAACATCAATGGATTAGATGGAGGACGATTCAGTGAGTTTTGCGGGAACTTTTCTTGTGATCTCGATGCTTCAGAACCTGTTATGAGGCTTACCTTGCCAAATTCTGTCACCATGGACTATAGCTTGACATGTCCCATTTGCTTGGTGAGGAATCATTTTACTCGGTATGTACCAAGTTAACCAAAGGTTAACACTTATTTGATATCTGATATGGTTCGTTATTGTGCAGGACACGGTTTTTAACCCATATGCTTTGAGCTGCGGCCACCTTTTCTGCAAGTCATGTGCTTGCTCAGCTGCTTTTGTACCGATATTCCTTGGGCTAAAAGAAGCTACTCTAGATTCAAAGTGCTCAATCTGCAGAGAGGTACGTTTAGAATGCAGGCAGTTTAGTGAACTATAAAATATGAAGCAAGTCCTCTACGATATTATGCACTATTCTACATGGTTGTAATGAGAAACTTTCAAAGCATGATGAACTTATTTCTTGCTTTCAGATTATCAAAATAGAGATAGCTACGACATTGAAGTATATGCACATAAGTGCCTAATAGACTTGTTTCCGGAAAGTATAGCTGGTAGCATAAGGATCTCTCTGTAATGATGACTATGGCATTGAAACATATGCACATAAACGCCCAATAGACTTGTTTCCGGAAAATATAGCTGGTAGCATAAGGATATTTTTGTGATGCTAGCAATGGGGATCTGCTTTTTTGGTATGTTTCATTGGGTTTTCTGTTAATGGGACCTTTGTTCTTTCTCTTCCATTCATCTCTCTCTAGCATAATTCATAATCTGGAAGATTAGCTTTAACAAATATTGGAGTAACCCGGTTGTTTAGAAAACTTGTATATCAAGTACTCAACGTGTCTTAGAAATTAATAGTGGACACCTATGTCTAACACATTTGATGATAACTGCTGCTGGCTTCTGATTAGCGTAGGTGTTTTCTTTTTCCTTGAGCAGAGATGCACATGTCTGACTAAACCCAGGTATATTCGTAGTTGGGACTAGTAGCAGCAAAGCAGCAGAACCTCATGGTTCCTTATGTTTTTTTATGTTTTAGAAATAACCATAAACCTTGTCCCAGTTATTTCTTGCTTCGCAGACCTGCTTGATGGGGTATTGTGTTCCAGTAGTGATTCTTCCCTGATACATAAGTGAAGCTCAATCTTACTGTCAAATTTCTCTGGTTTATAGGACATTCTCACCTGTTATTTCAAGCATATGTTTGAGAAATCATACAACTTTTCTGTCTATGATTGACCAAAGCAATCATCCCCTAATGCAGGCTGGCGTATATCAAAATGCAGTGCACATGATGGAACTGGACTTGCTGTTGAAACAAAGGTCGGAGACGGTGGAGTAACCTTTCTCTAATCTCCAATGGTTGACCAAGCATGCTAAATTTTAATTCTTTTTCCTCTTCCTTGAACATCTTACCTCCAGATGCAAGGAGAACTGGAAAGAAAGGATGGTAGCAGAACGTGCCCTGATAGTCAAGCAAACCAAAGAGTACTGGGATATGCAGACCAAATACGCAATCGGTTACTGAAGGTGGGATAGCTGATAGCCAGATGATTACGAGTGATTCTTCATTTTAGAGGGTCTAGGATTTTTATAGAGAAGAGGGGGGGAGTTGATTTAGACACAACGAGAGCCTGATCTGCTTCCAATAATGTCAGCAGGTGCAGTTGTACTGTCTTTCTGCCCAGAATATGGAGGGATCAGCCTATGAAGTGTCATCCATATGTGATTTTGATGCAGGTAAATTGTTTAGGTGTTCAAGAGCCCTTTGACTTTCAGGGTTAATTTTATGCAACGAGAGATTTCTTTTGGAATTACGAGGTCAATTAAGCAATCAACGAATTCAGGTGAAAGACAAGTTGAGGTGAGGGAGGATCTGCTATTCAAAGCCAGCATGAATTTGACGATCAAATTACTCTACCCAAAACCAACACCCCAAAACCCTAGTTAAATAGTAGAGAAGTGGAGAAATTACAGAAGAAAACAGAAACAAACAAGGCTAGACAAGTGATCTCCAATTTCATTCTTTTTCCATCTTATACGGCAAGACTTCTCCAACCGGCAGTCCACTCAGCACCGCAGCAACCCTACTGACAGCGCCAACAAAATGAACAATTTGCCACATAGCCAAGCTAGCATTTCCAACCCAACAACAAGGCCATGATCGATTGATAGTGCCACTAATTGAATCTCAATCTAGAGTCCCAGGTTTAAATTTCCTGACCACGCTAATTTCCCCCTCCTCACCCCTCTAGTAGCAAGTATAATAGGTTTCTATCAAAAAACAGCCAGCATTTCCAACAGGAAAATTGCGCATTGAAAACAAACATTAACACCAAAATCATCAATGAAATCTGCTTAACAAAGCACACCCCACGTTTCGCAGATGCATGAACAAGTTGAGCAAAAAAAGAAATTGTTATAGAATTGCAATTCAAAGCATGCAGCAATTACACAATTCGATTACTGCTACCACGAAATCCCTAAAACCCTAATTACATAGATGGAGCAAAAAACGCAGACACAAGCATAACCCTAGTCTAGACAAAGCATCTCCGCCACCTAAAAACCACTTGATTCTTTCTTTTCTAGACAGCAAGACTTGTCCGAGCGGCCGTCCATTCTCCTCCATCGACTACCTCTCCTTCTAGCCTCCGAACCCGTAGAGAGTCCTTCCTTGCCTCTTCAGAGCATACACCACGTCCATCGCGGTCACCGTCTTGCGGCGGGCGTGCTCCGTGTAGGTGACGGCGTCGCGGATGACGTTCTCCAAGAAGATCTTCAGAACACCGCGAGTCTCCTCGTAGATCAGCCCGCTGATACGCTTCACTCCACCCCTACGAGCAAGACGGCGAATGGCCGGCTTGGTGATGCCCTGGATGTTATCGCGCAGCACCTTGCGATGACGCTTGGCTCCTCCCTTTCCAAGCCCCTTGCCTCCCTTGCCGCGCCCAGACATTTTTGCTTCGGAGATCGAACGAGAGCGGAAATAATAGATCTGAGAGGAAGGTGAGAATGATTTGATATGCTTAGTAAAAAAAGGTGTAAGGTATAAGGTATTTATAAAGATGGAAATGGGGTTTGCTGAGGAAGTGAGAAATCAACGATCCGGGTCATGGAGTGGAAGACGCTGTCACCGCCGTAGATCTTATTTAATCTACGACTGAGATGAGATTTTGTTTTAGACGTGGATCGCTGACGTGGGTAGAGCGGGATGGCTGAACTAGTGAACTTCTCCCAGTTTGTTTGTTTTTTTGGGGAAGTACTAATTAAAGCCCTATGTTTTTAAAATTTGTCGCCCTAATTTTGCAACTTGACGTTTTTGCCACGCGCTTTTATTCCCAATGGCCAATATATAACAAATCTTCGCCCTAGGATTCTGCACCGTCACCGTCGTTTGCCTGGGAGTCGCCGTCGCCACCGCAACTGCCTTTCGCTGCGCTGCTCGGTCCGCCTCGTCGACGTCGCCATCGCCCTAATCCCATCCGGCCCAATTCCCACCGGTGGAATTCTCTCTCCAGCTCACGAAGTTCTCTTCTCCACCTCCCCTTCTGTCCCGCTCAAGGACGAAGAAGATGAGAAAGATCCATTGTTCTGTTGGCGGTCGCGCGCCTGCTCTGATTCTCGATCCGTCCCGTCATCGCCGCCATGCCTGCTCGGTGCGCCAATCGGGTTCCATCGTCTATGCTGCTGCTGCCGAGCGATGGTGAGGAGGAAGAAATAACAGCTCGGTCCGACCCGGCCGTCGCCTCTATTTCTTCTTCGTCCTTGAGCGGAGTAGCAGCGGAAGAGAATTCCGCCGGCGATGAGCAGACGGATTTAGGGCCATGGATTGGGGGCGACGAGCAGAGGGAGGAATCTTCAACGGCGACGAGCAAAGGGCGTGGGCCCGGCAACGAGCAGAGCCAAGCTGGGGATTAGGGCGATGGATTGGGGGCGTGGGTGAGGAGTCTTCCGCCGTCGCCAAACAGAGGGCGTTGGAGGGGCGACGAGCAGTTGGGGCGCTAGGGATTAGGGTGATGATTGGGGCGACCGTTCTAGAAATTGGGGGTAGTATTGTCTGTTTGGTTAATTTAGGGCGATATTTTTAAAAAGTTAGGGCGTTAAATAGAAATCCAGTTTTTTTGGGGGGAGAACAGCATGGTTGTCATGGCACTGTCAACTGGTTCAACCTGTGTCGGTAATAAAACTGGCATGACACCAACAGTATAATCGGTTTGATCGACTTGTGCATTCTAAGCAAAATGACATCACTTTAATGAATTTAACTAATAAAAAAAGTAATATATTATTCATTTTATGAATTTAATAGTTAAAAGTTAATGATATTTGTTGGATTGTAACTAAATTGTTCACAAATATGTTATATATATAATTAAATACATTGGATATTAATTATTTTCACATTTTTTTAAACCGGCATGAACCGGCACAAACTGATTCTACCATCGGTCATACCATTCCACTTGTCAAACCGGCACAACGGTATAAACCGGTTTGTTCAACAAATATAATAAAGTGGATATTATTTTGAAGAACACAATTAATCTGATTTATTTGTGCAACAAAATTAAATTATGACTTAAGATATAGCCCGTTAAAATTTATAAAAAAAAACTGTTAGAGGCCTTACATAAATAGTGATGTTGCAGGTTATGCATTGTTATTGGTCATAAGGTTACTAACCAGAACTGCTCCTTTTTTCATTGTTTGAATTTCTAATTTCCTTTCTTAACCCAACCGTCCTCTCCCTTTTCCGACGGTGTCTGAATAGAGTTCAATCTATATATTACTCCTTTTTCCAGCCCAACTGGACCAAGATGATCAAATCAGTTTATATCATTTTGTCGATTTAACAAGTGGAATCGTTAAACCGGTGGTACAACCAGTTGGTGTCGATTCATTTTAGTTTAACAAAATATGTAGAAATGTTAAAAAAACCATCAACATCAAATGAATTTTATCATATATAAAACCTATTTGAAGATAATTTACTTACAGTTCATATTCATATTTAAATAAAATACATTTCAAATAAAATAACATATTTATATACACATTTAACTTCAATACCTATACGATGATGCTTGAATCCAACAAATTGTATCAACATTTAACTTTTAAATTCAAAAAATAAATAATACAATAATTTTTTATTAGTGAAATTAACTAAAACAACATTATTTTTCATACGGGTCATAAATTGATCATGTCGGTCACACCAGTAGTGTTCACGCTGATTTCATGACCGGTACCAGTTTAACCAGGCTCAACCGACAGACATTCCACAAGCCTAACAACCACGAGTGCAACCCAACAGACTCAGTTGAATCTTTGTCTTCCTTCTTTGGTTGTTGAGATTCTACTTTATGGGATTGGTGTATATAAAGTTACCTTATTGATAAATGTCACTTTTATCCTTGACTTTTAATATAAAACCAAAAACTACCAGGCATATAAATGAAAATAAAAAGTAGGCATAAATGTAAAACCAACAATCTCAACTTTTAGTTGAGATGTATAATGCATCATTTTTGTTGATTGTTGGCGAGACCTAAACAAAAAAATACATGCATTGTTTTACAATTTGGCTCTTCAAAAGATTGTATTTTGCACACTACGGGGTCGTTTGGAAGTTGTGAATGTTTTGGTGAGATTGTTACTATATATGTATTGTTTAGAATGTATAATTTTTTTATTCATTAGCAGAAACAATACATGGATTGTTGGATTTGTTTCTGTGATGTGACAGAAACTATCACTCGAAATGAGTTATTGTTATATCTCAGCTTTTAGCTGTGATTGTGAGTTGAGATTGTTTTTCTAAACTTTTAGCTGATTCGACATATGCCAATTTCCTATCTCGTAGTAAACCGGAAGTCCTGGTATCGTCTCTCATGGACTGGTACAACCTTATATTATATCAATTCTATGGAGCAAACTATAGGTGAAAATAGTTTAATGTGACTAATTTCTAAAAGCAAAATAAACTAAACAAATTAAGCAAATGAAAACTGTCGGGAGAAATCAACGGAGAAAGCTCTGGGAGAAACACCGGAATTCACTACCTATCATATCCAGATTAATCCACACATTCTAATCAGTTTAATCCAATTCTCTACAGCAAGGATATCTCTATTGTGCTAGCTATCCTTGTTGGGAATTACTATGTACTAAACAATTAAATCAAATCCTACTGTCGTAGCTCAATGAGTTAATTATTTAGCCTGAAGAACGATATCCTAATCAAGACCGCACAGTACCTTATTTAATTCACTGTCGCTTCGATAAGTTACTATGTCACATGAAATAGGTTCAGTTATTATGGTTTCACTGTCGCTAATAACCTAATTAACTACAAAGTATTGGTGGCCAGTCAACACAAAGCATTAAGCAATTCCATGCAATAGAGACTGGAAGAAGAGAAATATGAATCAATCCATCAAATCTAGAAATAGCTACATTCTATAGTGTTTCCCCCAAAAATTGGGTTTAGTTCATGACGAAAATAAAGTACTCAATCATGTTTATAATCATCATCGAATCGAAACAAAAGAATACTTATATTTCTTCCCCGCTGCTTCGCTCAACTGCTACCTGCTCGCGATTTGCTTTTGCGCCAAACTTCTCTCGCCGCACTGCTCCTGGCTCAGAATTTTGCGAGCTGCTGTCTCCCCGCTGCCAATTAATTCCCGTCCCGCTCAAAGAATTCCCCTCTCAAGTATATTCCGCCCAAAAGAATTCTCCTCTCCCAGGCGAACAGTAACTCCAACAAAAGTACAACCCGGTCCAATTAAACTCCAAGTAATTCCGGTCCAACTTCCCCCCAGAGAACTCTCACCTTTTCCCTTTCACCCAGGACAAACGAGTTGGTTCAAAATTAATCCCTTCCAAGTCCATGTGTCCGATTAATTGCCCTCCTCCAAAACTTCCTTCCGTCCAAGTCTCAACAAGGAAGAAGAACTAATGGGTTGTGGTCCTTCAATGGGTTACTGATTTATTTTGTCGGTACTTCTTCTTCAATTTGCTTGTCCATCCAACTTTCTCCTTGTGTATTTATATTTTCTTGTTTCTTTGCCTAGCACATACAAAAGCTCTAGCACAATATGGTAATGGGTTTGCAACCATTCCATAGTCAATTGGCTTAAAAACAAGCATTATGTGTCTCAAACATATCATACAATAATCACATTAAGCACATAGAATCAATATGTTCCCGACAATTATCAACATACTTTTAATTACACATACCCAACGTTGTATTTTACAATGCATCAAATTTGATAACACATGTATAATATTGTACATGCATTCACAATATTTTACAACTTGGCACTTCTAAATATTGTATTGTGCACACTACGGGTCATTTGGAAGTTGTGAATGTTTTGGTGAGATTGTTACTATACATGTATTGTTTAGAATGCATAATTTTTATTCATAGCAGAAACAATATATGGATTGTTGGATTTGTTTCTGTGACGTGACAGAAACTATCACTCAAAATGAGTTATTGTTATATACTTACATCTCAGCTTTTAGCTGTGATTGTTGAGTTGAGATTGTTTTTCTAAGTTTTTAGCTAATTCAACATATTTAATTACACATACCAAACGTTGTACTTTACAATGCACCAAATTTAACAACACATGTATAATATTGTACATGCATTCACAATAATACATCTATTTAACAATCACAACTTTCAAACAACCCAATGTATGTGTTCAATAAACATAATTATAGCAATCACAACTTCCAAACGATCCTAAAATTAGAAAATATACAGTGACTTTTGACTCTCACATGTTTGTTCTTGCACCATAAAAAGTGGATACTTGGAGTATCAAGCGCCCTCTCAAAGGAAAGAAAATTCACAATTATTTGAAGTTTGCACAAGGTCGAAGATCATGTGCCTAACAAATGGAGATCATCAGTAATCAAACACAAAATCATAAATCATTGAAGACTCTGATATCATGTTTAGAATCCATTAATATGAATAACTCAATTTGTTAGAAGTGATCCAATTAGAGATATTACAACATTTATTAACATTTAGAAGCTACAGCTTGCTCCGGTTCAAGCTCTCTTCCTCTGTCTTTAATTATGCAAGTGCAAACATCATTTGGATCTCACATCCACTGGACAGTCATATTTAGGAATTAGGATGGAATCTCCTCCTAACTTTACGGTCAATCAATGTTTCAATCCCAAAGCATTTTACTGGTTGGGTCCATGGGTTGACATTTTCTTTTCCAACAGGGCCTAGTCGTTCATATAATTATTATTCAACTTGATTTCGCTGTAGTCAGCCCACCGTGATGTTCGCCTGTTACTCATTGAGATTGGGCTTCGCTGCTGGGAGTGGTAGCCCGCCCTTTTCCTGCATTTTCATTGCATGGAGTACGAATGTTAATGGTTCGAATTCGATGAACCACCAAATCTGAAAATGTGTATCAAAGTCTGAACCGATAACCCTTGCCAATTAACTAGGTGTGGGATTCGGTCGGTAAACGGTAAATTGTTTACCGAATTTACCGGTTTCGGTATACCGAAGTTGGCCAAATTAGTTACCGATTACCGATACCGATTACCGAATTACCAGTAAACGGTTACAAACCGGTATTACCGAAATACCGTGAGAAGCGACTTCGGGCAGTTTTTCGGTCGGTTTACCGTGACCGCAGGTTATCCGTTTTATGACCATTTAGTATGTTAGACCACCAATTCTCACCAACTGAAAGCAAACTGAGGGAGCCATTAATGAAAATCTATCTCCATGAATCTGATATGTCATTATGGTAGTTGACTAACTGATCTAACTATTATCAGCTTGGCTGATTATCGTAACAAAGCGGTGGATTCATTGGTGACAGCTCGGTGAGAGAGAGCAGCCAAAGGCAATGGCAGCGGCGGCGGATGAGCAAAGAGGGTGAGGATTGAAATGGATTCTCACGCTTTGACTGTTTATGATTCGGTTCAGCGAAAGTTAGTCGTTTGGGAAAATTCACACAATTGCTTGTTTGTCAGCAAAGTTGCCCCAGTATCAATTCCGATGGAATTCTCTGGCAATTTCGACTTACTGAACAAGCAAAGGCGAAGGGGAACCGAGTAGTAGGCAACACTGACAAGGGAGCTCGAGAGCTGGGCAGCAGGGGAGACTCGTGGTACATAGCTACTACTAAGGAGAAATGAGAATAGAAGGGGAAATGGGGTAAAACGTAAAAGCGAAGCGATTTAGGATTAGGGTTCTATAATTGGGTTCCAGTTCACACAAGGTAGGGGTGGGCATCCGGTTCGGTAAACCAAACCGACCCGAATCGAAATCGAAGTTGACCGAATCAAAACCAAGATATTGATGTTCGGTTCGGAATTCGGAAGAGGAAACTGGTTACTTCGGAAACCAGGAGGCTCTCAACCGAAACCGGAATTCCGAATTCCGAACCGAAAACCGAAATATAGCCCACAGCCTACTAAAACACCCACAACCAATCTTTAGGCCACTGAAACCCAGCCCACTGAAACTCTCTAGCCCACAGCCAACCCCATCCTCTCCAAACCATAACCTCACATCACAGCAGTCGCCACCCATCCTCTCAAAATAGAAGCCGCCACCTCCTAGCCGTCCGCCATCAGATCGGCCATCGCACCGCCATCTTCTCCTTCATGCAGACACCACGACGAAAGAGGAGAAGAGCTCCCTGACATGCAAAGTCTATTCCACACCTGATTCGACCTGGACGCGGAGCAAAGAGCGGTTAGTAGAGGCGGAGAGGAAGGTCGAAAATCGAGGGAGAGAACGAAGAGGGAAGAGGCGGAGAGAGGGATTGGTGGCGAACGTCTTCTGTGGATTCTTCAGAGAGAGCGAGAAGCAGAGATGAGGGAGATAGTGTCGGCAGCGGGAGACAGGCGGAGAGAGGGGTAGATGCGGAGAGGGAAGTCGTTCCTCCATCGATGGTGTTGACCCACCAGGATAAAACGAGAATAACAGATTTGAGGGAGAGGAGATAGAGCGGTAATATCAGACTATGTGAGGAGCAATGGGATTTGGATGGGAAATTGGAATGGGAAGCTTGTTTGCTGGGCGAGAGAGTGAGAGAGAAAAGTAAAGAAGAAGAATATTGGGGAAAGGTTGTGTTGGTGGGGTGAGGCGAGAGAAAGGGAGAGGGTAAAGAATAAAAGAATCCCCTCTCATCTGGCCCAGCGACCAGAAGACAGAACAAAAGCACAAAAATGGACAGAGCATACATTTTTCAGTTTGGAGTATAAAATCAAACCGAACTATAATTCGGTTCGGCCAAACCAAACCGAATTATAACTCGGTTTGAATTCGGTTGAGGGATGTTGTGGTTCGTAAAATCGGGGTATACCAGTTCGGTTCGGTTCAAACAGAACTGACCGAACCCCCACCCTAACACAAGGGGATACGGGGGGTTAGAGCTAAACTTTATTGGTGTTGGCTTTTCGGCTAGTGGTCAAAACCCCTTACCAAACACCGAACCAATACATTGTTATTGTCATCAATTTAGGCAAACACATCATCAATTCGAGTTAAATCAATAACCAATTATCACCCCTGCAAGATCATTTGATAATTGACACTCTTGTTCCTACATCTTTGTTGAAGTGGTTCTTATTATCGCTCAAACTCGTTACAATTAACGTAACTCCAGTTTTTCATTCCATTCCAAGAAATGGCAGAGCATCAATTCTGGGAGCCTCCATCAGAAACACATTACATAGGCCCACGACGAACTGCGTTTTTCTTGCTCTTTTCCCATGATAGTATTAAATAAACTTAGTTTGATGTAGAAATGTGTACTACCACTACTAACAGGTTACCTACCAGGAAGTTAGCTTATTACATGGATTCAGAATTTACTTATATGGGAAACTGATCATCCCAAAAAGTTCACAAAACACACAATCACTAACTAAAATGGCTAATGAAACAGGATAAACTCAAGAGCAACACCTTTGAGTTTGACAATGGTTCCAAAGTCTCCTACTCGTATTCCATTCCGAGGGAAGAGACAATGCTCAGCAGCAGCTCAAATAAAGACCACCTCGTTTCTAGATCAAAGCAAACTAATGGTACACCAAAGAGTTCAAGATGTTCACCGAAGTTCCAAGAGGGCAGAGCCAAGGACACTGACAATAAATACCAACTGTTCATACTTCATATCAACAAGGGGGTGTTCCTATGCACCAATTAACCAACCCAAACTTGCAACCCGAATGTCTATCAAGCTGAGTTAGAAGTTCCTGCACTGTTTCTGGCAAAAGACACGGGATAGAGAGAGGCCAAAGGCATGAAAGAAGAAAATTTTATTCCTTTGATCGATCAGGAGAAAAAGAAGGGGTGCAGCGGATGACAAAAGGGAATCATTGAACCCAAAATTTAAGAGCCATCCATCCCTTGCCCTGCCGCTAAACCACTTGCTATGCAGGGAACTTCTTTAAGGTACAAGATAATGGCGTACACTAGGCAGGCTGCTGGTTGTGATTTCTATCATTGGAAAAGAAAAAGAGGAAAATATGATGGGATTGGACATACCATATCTTTTCTATGAGACAAAGGTGGCATGATACAGAAGGCAGATCATAAACCGCAAGAACCAACCACCACCAATATTGAGGGGAAAAACTCATGCACCACCACGATCTACCACTCTTACAATTGACGACTTACTACCATTCAATTTCTCCAGAACAGTCTTTTGAAGCTTCAATACTATCCTGGCCAATCAGAGAATTAACTGACCAGTCAGCAATCTGAAACAAAATTTTCTACTCAACGCAAGGACACAACAAAGAGTAACGCGGCCAACTTGTCATACTCACATGAATAAACCAAAAACAAGAAAAGAGGCAGGAGCTAGCTGTTGCCAGATGCACCTAGCAGACTTCAGCCTCTTTGCTTGACTCAGACCAAATAGACCCAAAAGAAAAGAACAGGCATTTCAATTCCACATGCTACCAAAACCAAACCAACTTCTCTTCACCAAGATATTGCAGCAAGAACTGAGAGCAAGCAAACAGTTCAAAAAGTGGCTCTTCAATTTCTTTAACGAAAAATCAAAGCGTTTCTATGAGCTGGATATTTAAGTTGAATGATTTATATTCTAGGGACACGTTGCTCATCTTTTACTTGCATTTAAATCTTAGCCTCCCAATATAAAAATGAAGTAAAGCAAGACCGATAAAAATAGCAAAACAGGTTAATTATAATCTTTCCCTCTCAAATAAGGTAAACTATCTTTTCGGAATCAATTAACAAATGAACCTTGAGTACCCACAAGAATCGACATTAAGCGCACTAAAAATGAGAAATATCAAAGAGCATGTCAAGGATGAAAAGAAAACCAAGTGAAAGAATAGATAGCAGGGTCAAACCTTGTTACATCAACGTCTTTGTCTAGGCTTGCAACGAAATTCAGCTAGGAGTGCAATATGATCAGAGGACCACTCTGGAGAAGGAAGTGCTGTATCTTTTCTCAAACTTTCTTCATCCAGGAGTTCCAACAAGGACTCCACAGTCAAAGAGTCAGCTGGAAAGTTCAATTCCAACTATGGAGTGTTATAACTAATATGTGCAGTAATAAAAATGAGTGAGTTAGAGATACGCAGATGAAAAAGTATAAGCAGGGACTCTTACCCGTGTAAAATATGTAATCAAGAGTACCAATAAAATCCCTAGTGCAATTTGTAAATAATGGCTCGTTGATTAGAGGGTCCATCTTCCTCCTCTGATGATCCACACCAAGACCAACTCCCCTCACAAAAGATGAGTAAGCACTAACCTGCAAGAACAACTCTCGGTCAAGCTACAGCTAATAAAACCCGGAGGACTGTCTTTGAAAGTGGACCCAAATCCACAAGTTCAATATTCTATAGACCTTTTCATTTAAACCATATCGATCAAGTTCCAGAGCCAAATCTATCCTATTCTTCAATACATAATACTTCAACTATTTTAGACTATATCGCAATCTGCTTTAAGATGTATAGTTTAGTTCTAAGAAAATCAAATATACTCATCCGAAATCTCACTAATCAAATGCGGCCATGAGTGCAAAAACAGAGATCCACCCAGAGGGGGACAAAAACACAACATAAGAGAGCTCGACATTATCAAGACAGACATTACCAGTAGTAGCTGATGTGCCAGCTTGCTGTGAGGACGTAAAATACCAAGCGGGTCCACGACTATATCAGGATGTGTCGGTTCCACCTTTCCTCCGGCAAGAAGAGCATGAGGAGCACTGCAACAAAAGACAATCGGACATGTTATACTTTGAGAATCAGACAAATATGTTGCATAATCTAACAAGGGATAAAGTTCACCAAGAGCAGACTAACCTTCCTGGTAGTGAATTGAAATCTCCACATACTAGCATAGGAATGTCAGCACTTGCAGCTATCTTCTCTAATCCCTTGAGAAGAGTAAGAACCTGATTTGAAAAAAAGTCAATTTTGTATTTTATCATTAGCATGCAGCCTAATATACTTAAGAAGTTCCACTCATAACGAGCAAAGGCATGAAGCCAACCTGCCAAAGCTTAACATCCTTTAGATCTTGGTGGACATTTACATGGGTATTTGCCTGCATATGACACACAGACATAATACCAGGAGTCGGTCACAAACCAATCATCTGTGGAAGATATAGAGATACAACAGGGACAGAGATCCCCTATTTCTAAAACAGATAGGGGAAATGAAAGCGCAAATGATAGTATGAGAAGTAATGATGCAAACAGTCCAATGTATAGTACTTAAGCAACAATAAAAAAAACCCTTCAAAGGTGTGAGCCATCAAATACTACATAACTGTGTCTTGACATGGATATGAACCAATATGCAAGAGAAACAAGAGCCATCACTTACAACGCATAGAAGCTGCCGCTTGCCTGGAGTATCAGCCCCCTGGTTGCTGAACTTTGCCTCCAGTACCACAATTAGAGCAACATTATCCTGGGAGCAGAAAGATCTTCCATGAGGCTACCATGGAAAACATACAGGATATAATGGCAGTACAAAGATCAATGAAATTAGAAAAAAATTGGTGCACCTTAACCAATCGATTCAAAGCAGTCTTCCTCTGGGCACTTGGAACCAAAGCTTCAGTCAAGGACTGAGCAGCCTTGTTGAACTCAACCTAAACAAAGACACAAGGTCCCCTAAAGATATGAAGAATGCGAACAAAAGGAAAAGACCACATATAAAGCACTTACAGACCTCATATTTTTTAACATGCGAGAATCTATCTCTTCGAAAGAAAGTTGCACAACCATCTATAGTATTAGGGTTTCCTGTGTAGACCTGAAAGAGCAATGCATACATTATAGAAGTGCCCAGGGCCAAACAACAAAAGATATATCAAAATAAGAAATAAAATCCCAAAGAAACCTCATTCGTCTTCCTCTTGTACAAGGCTTGGTAACCATGTTTATCCAGCTCTGGCGCAAAGAACTCCTCAAAATGATCATTTTGAACCTGAGAGCAGGAAAAAGAGTAGCCTTTAACCTATCATGAATGCATCAATGACAAAGATTGGAGGCCTAGTGTCCCTTTAGACAATAAGTCGAGCGAATTAACATTAAGACCAACATGTTGCTATAACAAAACTCAAGCTTCAAGATTGTATCACTAATTTCTTTAGTCAATTCAAGGTAAAAATGACACATTTTCCTGCCTTTCTGCAATTGCGAGGAGCACTATAACTAAACAAGTCCAAGTCAGTAGAAGTTAATATAATAAATACCAATGAGCACCATAGACGACTTCAAATGCATTCATCCAAAAACAAATAGAAAGCTACTTCTAACCACTAAATTCATCTCGGATCATCTCAAGAGAATCTTCTAATAGTTAGCTGCAGTGGATGCACCAAGAACTCAGATGCCAGCCAGGAGGAACAAATAAGACACCAAGACAGCAATCAACAAAGCATAATTCAATTACTACTGTAGAATTCACAGTTTTTCTGCAGCCGAACAACTCAACCCATTCTAAAATATAAGCAACTTTGCCAGCTCGCATCCCCTCCTGTGATTTAAGTCGGGTTTTTTTCCCAGGGACATAACTACGCAGAGGAAACCCATAAATCTGATTACATGAACATAACTATTCTGCATTACCTCCTGGAGACAAACAATATCTGCTCGATATCCAACAATTTCCCGAAGCAAATTCTGACGGCGATAAGCCCACGACAGGGCCCATGATGGGCAATAAGCATAGGATTCGCTAGTGGCGTAGGCATCAGCCAAAATATTGTATGAGAGTACAGTGAAAGTTCCAGATGATGAGATACGACCATCAGCATCTAAATGGCCAATTACATCCGCCCCATTAACGGGGATCAACCGACGTGGTGGAGGTGAGGGGGCTGGAATAACACGGGAAGTCAATAGAGTACTTGGATGTCCCACAGTTTGTTTAGTTTCAGCATCGACCACTACACACTCAAACTTAAGGACGTGTCCAATATCATCAGCTGATGGTGTATACGTTTTTGATCGCCCCACTTCAAACCAAGTTTCACCACCATTCCTTTGTGTCACTGTGGCAGGATATAAAGGTGTTGATCCATTTGTCAAGCTAGCACTTGATGCAGAAGTGGGTAAAGTTGAATTAATGACTCCAGATCCTGTGCTATTGAAACGTCCAAATAACTCTTCTTCCTCATTTCCATTCTCATTTACAGCACTTGCTGCACGGTCATGAAGAACTCGATGATGCTGCCAGGCATCTGAGAAGCATTTGGGAGAACAATGATAACTTTTGGCAACTGGTATTTTTGCCTTGACACAGCCTAGACACTGCAGTGTGGCTTGTTCTGATGGATGTATACTGCAAACAGTTACCTTTTTATCACTTTGTATCCGGTACCTGCAAAATAGGTTATGAAGACATTATATAAGGTGCTACTTCAGGAGAGAAGGGAAAATATTCTGTAGAGTTTCAACCAACCCTGAATTTACTTTCAACATAGATTGATGTGCAAGCCCAATCACTTGCTCATTTATTGGTTAAACATTCACCAATTCTTGTTCTCGTATTCAAAACACAGAAACCATTTTACACTGACCCTTTACAAGCACTTTGTCTCCTTAAACAAAACGGCTTATCCATAAAATGCCCCCAATTTAGAAGGAAGCCCAAGGAAACAACACGAATCTGCACTTTGTTTCCTCACCAGAAGTTGTAAGAAGCTTCTACCAACCCATAGTAGCAATTGACACCAGCAGATTTAGGACAAAAGCAGAAGAGGTTCAAAGGATACCAGAAGAAACTAATGTGTGGAAGATTTAGGAAAACTGAAAACACAACATCAACCAGTCCTAGTTCTTAAACTTATGCAACGCGATCTTTTTTACATTCTTGATTCACATCATAACACAAGGGCCTCGCAACTTGCTAACTCTAGCAACTTAAAGTCAACTCATTTATCTCTCTTGGGCAGAAGAGCAACATCCCCATTTCCAACTACACATTAAGAAATCCCAGGAACAGTGACAAAAGGAAAAAGGTTTACATATCCCCTGACACAACACAGCTAAACAATCCTCGGAAGAAGCAAACTTTCGGCCAAAAAAAAGCAGAAACATAGCCCGAGATAGTCAAACGCGATCAGAACACAGGAAAGTAAGTTGAAAGAGAAGAAAAAACAAACACTAACCACTTGTATCTCAAGAAATGACCATCGAGGGGAGACGACTCGGGAACATCTTCGGGGTAAAGAGTCTTGTCTGGTCGCCGTAATAGGACGTACGGCGTTAGCTCACAGCCTACAATGGGGATATCCGACGGGAGGTGTACACGCAGCACGCTCAGCATGCTTTACCTCTCTCGTTTTGGCCTATCTTCTTCTTCACTCTTCTTTGTCCTCACCACTCGGTAACTCAATCAACAACTCCTCCGCCTCCTCAAAACCGGAACAGCAAAATCCTGGTCGAATTAACAGTGGGCGGATATTTGGCGGATCCGCCATTTACTAAACCCGAATACCCGCCAGCCTTGCCCCGCTCTCAATTAAACCACGATTTGTAATAAGAAGCAAACCCTAGGTATCACAAATTTTACCAACAGCCAAATATAAATTAATAAAGTAAAATTCCCCCCCACTGCAGATCTCGAAGAATAGATTCCAGCACAATCACAGTGCCGAATACTTGGAGAAGCCCAAAGGGAATCGAGATGACCGATTGCAGAGGATCGATTCGACCATAAATGATGGCGGGAGAGTTTATAAGTGGGGCGGAGGGCAGACGGATGGATTCTAGGGTTTTACAGAAGGAAAAAGGTTGGGGGAGGGAAGTGAGGGAGACGAAGGAAGGGGAGCCTCGAGAGAGAGAGCAGAAGAGGAGGAAAGCCGAAAGGAGGGCAAGGCTTTGGTTTGGTTTGGGTCAAGGCCGGGGATTGGGTTCGGTGGCTGGCTCGGCTCCGTCCCAGTCTGTGCGCGCGGGCGAACTGGAGAGAGAGAAAGAGAGAGAAGAAGGGGCTTTCGATGGCGCAGGAGGGAGGAAGGAAGGAAGGATAAGGGATAATGGGGTCGTCAATCATATTCCTAATTAGTGACCTAACAAATTACTGAATCGATCTCCCTCCATCCCTGACCTGAAAGTTGTTTTGGGGCACATTTACTTTCCTTTCTCATTTCGGATGACTTGTACTAATCGATCGATCCGATTTGGATTTCACTAATTAATTAAAGTTGTTTTCCTGATATTAATTGAATCAAACATGTGACTTTACCAAACTAAAAAGAACACAAAGTATGGGATCGGGACAGGTCATGCAACTCATATATTGGATATGTATCACAAAAGTTCACTCTTTGTACGGCTGGAGTGCTGACATAAATTCAAGTAATAGGAAGCTTTCTTTTTTACCCTTAAAAAAACTTCTTTTTAAGGGTGAGAAACGACATGCATGCAGGTATTTGGGTATACCTATACTTGTCATGTTTTTTTTTAGATTTACAGGTACCCAAATACGTGTAATATTTTTATGGGATGAGCCTTGGAATAGATAAATTTTATAATGAATACCCAAAGGTTACCCGTTAATACCTATTTGAGTATTACGGGTACCCGTAGTACCCGCCCATTCTATTGAACCTTATTTGGTACATACAACTAGCAGAACAGAGCACAACCAAGCCAAGCAAAGCGAAGGGGAAAGTAGAGGGATCACTCAGCCGAGCACTCTGTCTATGAATCATAACCATACAACCCAATGTATAATATAAATTAGACTGTACATTGCAGGGATTCAATGTTGTTGACCAACCAAGACCAACAATGAGAAGATAACCCCTCAAATTGGGCCCTTGATTGAAAGATTCGTTTCTAGAAAGCATAGGATGGATTTCCCCAAGAAGTTGCTGCCGCTTGATGCTTCTTGATACCCCCATTGGTATGTTTGTTCATCTTGGAAGGGGGGTTGGTGGTAGAACCCGGACCCTTGACTTTCCCCATTTTGATCGTCCCATCAAGTTCCGGGATAACCACTCTCGAGTAGTGGTGGATACCCCCACACTTGGGTGAAATCATAAGGATCCATGATCTGATACCTACAAACACAAAAACACAAAAAAGGAAAACGAAACACAAACAAACCAACCTTCAAGACGAAGAGTGGTAAACAAAACGCACATGAAACACAAAACACAAACAAAAAGGCAAGATAGAAAATGCTAGAGTAACACTAAGCGACTTTTTATGGATAACGGACCGTAAGGTCCCCGACAACAGGCTAAAAACTTGACTCGCTCGAAACTACACCGCGAATTAATCCCAACTAGAGCCCAAGTTTTTAAACTCCAGTCGTGTGTAGTATAGGGCAAGTATTTAATTGTCAAACCCGGGCCGGTCCATGTACCCCTACTTCAATCGCTTAGTTTGTTATCTAGCAAACGTTTTTGAGTTTAAAACTAAGAAACCTACAAATGAAAACAAGCAAGTAAAGTAAATCGAGGTTGTCCCCATGAGAGAGTAGTTCACTAGGGTGTTGCTCCCCTTAGCTAGCAATTACGACTTGAAGGATCGAATGACCATGTGTGGTTAGGGGGTTATAAAGCGCAAGAAAGTCTAACAAGTAGCCAAAGCTACCCTCTTAGTCTCTAGGTCGAGGAAATGAGATACGATTCAAGCCAGTAATGCGACCCTCTCAACCTATTGACTAAGGAATGGTAAGACTTCACCCTCGAATTGGAGTTTGGACGGCCACCCACAACCAAACCATAAGTGCTAATATGAAATAGGAGGTTTGCCCTTAATTAACCTAGAATAGGAGCCATGAAATGCCCAAGGAAACCCATCTATAATAGAGCCTCTTAGTTTAAGGAGGGTTCTCTCTAAACTAGCTTAGGAGGCATTGAATGCCCAAGGACACCCAGCTCAAATTGAGCCTCTTTGGGTAAAGGAGGTTTCCTCTCTAAACTAGCCTAGGAGGCATCAATGCCCAAGAACACCCATCTCTATGAGCCTCTTAACCTAAGGAGGTCTTCTCTCTAAGCTAGGTCAACAAAGCACACAAGATTGTTAATGAATAATACCTCCACATTCACATTAAACACAACCACACACAAATCATTCAATTCTTACAAGCATTCACATAATTGTAGCTAGGGTTTACAAACACCCACGTGAATAGGTAGGCTATTCCATAGCTAGGCAAAGGAAAACAAGGAAAATGAGAAAAGAACCATAAATAGATGAAAATCTTTCCTCCTTGTCACTTGAATCTCCCTAGAGAAGAAGAAACCTTCACTCCTCTAGCTTGAAATGAAACCCTAATCTCTCACTAAAAACCCTCCTTTATTCTGAAACTAAAACCCTATAAAAAGATCTCACTTTCTCGTTCAGTTCCCTTCTCCTTTATACCTAAATCAGGCTCTGTTCACGGTTTAAGACCTTAGTTCATGGCCACGTTGATCAATTCAAGGTCTTAGACCTCAGTCAAGGACGCGTTGATTAGTTCAAGGTCTTAGACCTTAGTTCACGGCCGTGAACATCAAACGCGTCCTTGAACATAGTGTGTTGAACCAAAACGCACCGTTTCACTTCTTGGGTTCACGGTTTGTGGTTGCAGTTCATGGTCTTAGAGACTGTGAACACCCTTGGAGTCAGTAACCTCAGAAACCCCTCTGTACGCTTCTTGGTTCACGGGTTATGGTTCCAGTTCACGGTCCTGGAGACCGTGAACTCCAATGGCAGACCGTGAACACAAGGTGTTTCCTTCTCTTTGCCCGTGTAGACACCACATTTTGTCCGAGATAATTGTTTTACTGAAAATAATTATTGTAACGTCGTACTACGATTATATTTAAAAAGGAAGCTGAAGATAGTTTGGTTGAGACTAGCAGTTGCAAAGTCAATATGAACCAACAATTATCAAATTTGCTCCTAGTCGTTTCTAGGGCATAATTAGTTAATTAGTTAAGATAGGATCGGTTTAAGTTAAGATTAGCAGTGGCAAATCTTAAATATAAATTCTAAATTGGATGGAAGAAGTGACTATAGGGCAAATTTTGTCTCTCGAGTATTTGGATTCGGTATTTGAAATGGGACAAATTAAATAGTGGAATGAGCTTTATTATCAAAGATTCAAAGTTGATACATCGTACAACTTGGGTAATGACCTCTAAATAAAACAATAATTAGAATTAATTACAATGACTAATGCTAACTCTACAAAATTTGGGCCACACAATTTGATTTGTACATATAAAATTACAAAGAGAGAAATATTGGAGCCTTGAGGCATGAATCTGGTCCACTAGCCCAGCTTTCTCAGTCAACCAAGTCCAGTTACCTGAAAAAATGAGAAGAGACCAATTAGTCCAATTCCAGATTTTTAAGCCCAAAATTGGCTGTCACTCAAGCCCAGTTTCTAACCCAAAACCAGAGGCCCAATCAACCAGCAGAGGTCAATTTCAGAGCCCAACTCGGCCCAATAAACATCCAACCAACAGGCCCAACTACCCAACCCACCTTATCTACAGAGGGCAAGCTAGAGAATGGCATCTGCCCCCTAAAAGGAGTCGGACGGCCACGTCCATCCATGGATTAAGCAAACATTGCCACATCTACCAATGAACAGTAAAAGGGCTCTTCAACTTTTGCTTGGAATGGGGGGGGGGGGGGGGGGGGGGGGGGGGGGGGGGGGGGGGGATTCAAGAAGAAAAAACACTCTACAAAAATAGAAATATTTACATCCCAAACAGTTTTTTGGTTCTTGCTCTTAGCCGAAGTTCATTTGAGGGAACTGCGAGATTGAAGGAGCAGATTTGAAGATTGACGCAGGAAAAGGCCATTCTTAGGCCTAGAAATTCAGGTTGGTACTGGTATCAACTTCCATCTTTCATTTTTTTATCAAGTCATTACAATCATTATAATGTTATAATCATCCATAGCTTGCCTACTTATATTCAAGCAATTTACTTTACAATCCACTTTATATCCAAGCACTCTTAAGATCTGCTCATAGTGATGGCATTAAGCTTCTTTCAATTTAGCACTTGTTTACTTTTCTCATCAATTGATAGTCTATTATAATCTTATACTATGCCGTCATATTTACTTTTAGCGTAATAGTTGATAAACACAAGATCATCATACACAAAACAAACAAAATCAAATTAAGATCTATGGAAACTATAAAGACAATAATATTCGATTCACAAACTCTTATCAGTTTCAAATAAATCAAAAATCCTTTTTCTAATTAAATTACGTGCAGTAGCAGTGTCATTGTCCATAACCTACCCAAAATCACAAGCAGTGGCAATGGATTTAGTTCATTTTTCTATCGAAATCACATGTAGAGGCAGA